TAAATGTCCCACACCGGAAAATTGAGAAGCATTAGAGTGCTATATTAAGCTTCGGGTTACTCCTCCTAACAGGTTGACCTTTTAGGATGGAACCCCGTGTCTTAACACGCAGTAGTACGTAAGACCAAGGAGGTACTACTCCATATTTCCTAATTCTCGGGACTTGGCTTTCCTTATACCGGTACGCAATGTTCTAAAAGACATAAGACGTGTCGAGACGGCACACTTAAGTTTTAAGCCTTCCAAACCTAGGCGGGCATAGGCGTGAAAAAGCGTTTTGATTTGTTATCATTTATTTTAACTTTCCTAAAGCTATTTTTAATTTAAATAGTGTTATTCAAGAATATCATACTTTTGTAATTATCTCTACAAGAAAATGCGGGTTTTACTCATACACAGATGTGTAGGTGAAACTGTAATCATGTGTAGGCAATGATATTTTCCCACACATATATTAAGTACTACATACTTCATATATAGTAAGTGTAACGATGTGTGGGCAGTGGCGGAACCAGGAAATAAGTTGAGCGGGGGCACAATCGCATAATATAAACCATCAAATTAATAATAACATTGTCTTGTCTTAACAAATCATACCAAATATAAGAAATTTAATCAAAAGCGCTAATGTAATGATGCTAAATCCAATTTTTTCATGTAAACGTCATTATACTCGTATGTTGGATAATAACCTCATTATCGACGCGTCTAAACACATTTTTTTCTATGTAAGAGACTACACATTCATATCTATAGGTGTAGCTCGAACAAAAACATTTGAAAAACTAGCACTCGCACTTATCGGTGCTTTAGTCCGGGAAATAAATTCCCAATTGACATTCCCTAATAATAATTATCAAAAACTAAAATATTTAAATCAAAGTTCAAACTATTATAAAATCATAATTTAATATCAATAATACGTAATTAGTTGATTCACTACAGATTTACATGTACAACAATCTCAATATAATACTCGTATAATATAATTGAATAATACACAATAATTCATTTGGGATCCGTTTCTGCTGGTAGCCTGGTCCTAGCGGTTTGGGGAATTTGGGCTTACGGTTGTTCGGCCTTGGCAATTGGCCCAACTGGCCATGAGTTGTACGGAGTAATTTTTTTAGTTGCCCATTAAAGAAACGACATCGTTTCCTTTTAAGTAAAAAACACAGCCTACCCCGAAGGGGTTTACTGCAGTCTGCAAGTCTGCAGCCCTTGAACGCCGGAAACTATCCACCCGCCGGCGGACCTCCAAGACCGAACCCTATACCTAACTCGCACGGCCGAAGCAGGGGCAAGTGCCCCCCTGGCCCCCCTGGCAGATCCGCCCCTGTGTGTGGGTATACGATTTAGGTAAAAGTTATTACCAATTCATGGGTAATTCTTTATCATTTACCTACACATTCACGTGTGCATAAAAACTTATTGTATGCGTAGCTATCAAACTTAAAAAATCAGCAGCGATCGATGACATGTCATATTACGTGGCGCCAACATGGCATATTACGTGGTGCTGATATGGCAAAATTTGTTATGTGGTTTGTATACATGGACAACATGGTGTTGCGTGGAATTGGTTTTGTGTGGCTAAATGTTACGGAGTACGTAGTATTTGTATGTGTAGGTAAATACTCAATAATGTTACGTGAAACCTTTGTTTGTGTAGGTAAAAACCGTAAAATCACATTTATATATTGGTACAAATTTATCCGACGGGTAGGCGGGTTAGTGTTGGCAAAATTGTTAATAGTTATTTCTCATTTGTTTTTATGCTGTTCTATTATTGCTAGCTTTTCTTGTAGAGTAATACTCCGTAACAGCAATCTTATACGGAGTATATACAATACAATACAAATTTCAACATTATTAATGCGAATGATATACATAATAATCAAGGGTGGAGCCTGAAAAATGTGTGAGGGAATCAAAATCTAATTATATACACTATCAAAATCATGGATAATTATTAATTATTTGAGTTAAATGTTTCATATGTAGTTGAGGTAAATGGTAGTTTAATTAATGAGCATTTTTTCGGTTAATGTATTGATATACATGTGATATATCATAATGTTCACACAACTAATGACTGAATAAGATGTTTTATTTTTAAATTTAAGAATAGAATCAATGTCACACTTCAAATTTTGCTTATTTCAAGTTAAGATAGGGCTGAATTTTCCAGAAGTCATAACTTTTTACTCGTAATGAGTTACGAGAACTAAAATATATCAAATTTCAGAGTTTTACACTCGATCTTGAACTTTCACCGGAGTCGACTGACCACCTGACCCCTCCTTGGTTCTGCCCCTGATAATAATACATAGGACAATGCATTATAAATAAATCTTCAACATCTAATATTCACTTTCATGATGAAAGCCAAACATTGCAATAAAAACCTTTAAATATTAACCTAAACAAGTACAATACTAAAAATGTATATTATGCCTTATGTGAAAGCAACTCATCAAATTCAAGAGTGGAGTCTCCACCATAGCCATTAGATTACTGCCCTCGACTAATATAAGGTGAGCCGCGAATCCCGCGATTAAATGACCGGGACATTGGGTTCTCTCTTACTTAGATGCATCGTTTTTCCTATTAAAATAAGAAAGGAATATAATAACTCGTAATGTATGTTGTCAAATCAAAGTATTTAATATAGATACCTCACATTCTCCCACCCGAAGTTAGAAATACATACATATTTAGATTCCATTTTTGAAGATACTCGACCACGTTTTAATGCCACTAAAAGAGATGGCTCGTCTCAACATGAAGGACTGAGGACGGATTCTGTGTTTCGAGTCGATGAGGGTGAATTTTTTTTCGGAAATCGCTAGTGTAGCGAGACGATTTTTTCCGCTTGTGTAGCGGGGCGATTTTTTTCACCAGCGTAGGACTGTGGCTAATTTTCATTCAAAAAAATTCAATGATGATATTTAAATCTATTACATTTTAAGTTTAAAAATGGAAAAATAAATTTAATTTTATAATAGTGAGTCCTCTAAAATTGTACTAATACATTAAAGCATAAGAAATGACAAATCAAATAAAAATTATTTGAAGGTAAAGATTTTAAAAGGCTCACATCAAGCAAGACTTTTTAAATAAATTATGTCTTGTTTAACCATATGAATCTTCTTAGAATAAAGAATTGGTTTTTGAATTTGTCTACCAAGAATGTTGTTCGTGGGTCACTAGAATTTTTCTTAATATTACAATAGTATGTATAAGATTATTATTTTTAGAATAATGATATACATAGTATTGTTAATTCACATATGTGGTGCATATTGTATTTGTATTAATGCTAAAATAAGTTAAAGTTTATTATCTATGCAACAAATTGTTTTTAGAAAGTAATAAGTAAATGAATTGTGTACTTTAATGTCAATAAACATTTATATTTCAGATTCACTTCACCCATGATCTAAAACTGTTTAACTAGTGTGTTTGGTATTTAATATTGTTTGATATTTTACAAAATTGAGTACTAATCGTCTAATAAAGACAACTAGACGCTACAAAGGTAGAAATTTATAAATAATAGGTATCCTATGTCTTAAACAATGACTTGTGCTATTGTTTATTCATTTAAGTTATGTAAATTATTTTAGATGTTACTTTTTTTAGATCTCCAATTATGTATTACATTATGTAATGCTATATATTAATTTTGAAAACTAAAAGTTAAGGGGGGCGAATACATATGTATTTAATTAAATTATGAAAATATTACATATGTAGTAGATAAATTTGAATAGGGGTGGGCACGATCCGGTTTGGTCCAATATTTGATCAAACCCGTACCCGTACCATTACTATTGAAAGGGTTCGTTTCGGTTTGGTCTTAGACCTAAACCCGTTCGGTATGATCCATTTTCAAACGGGACGGTACCATGCCATACTCATCCCAAATAGTTCGGTATGACATTTTTCCAAGTGTTTAAGGAAAAATTAAAGTTTAGGCATACTCCAAAAATCCACACAATTTAACAATTTTCATATTTCATACTACCTTTGTTCCAAAATGATTTGCAAAGTCAATCTTTTTTGGTCAAATAGTTTCTTTTTATTCATTTAATTTGGGTTTCACTTTTTATTTATATTCTAATTTGGCCTTTCAGAAAAAAGTACTTCGCATATTCTAATTTGGATTTTGCAACTTTAAAGATATTTTAATGTGGTTTCTAAATATGTAAATTTTAATTATTAAAAATTGTACGGATTAGTAATTATCATTAGGGAGGACTTAACATTAACACTGATAAAAAAAAATGTTGATTTTGCAAATCAATTTGGGATGGATGAGATAATTAATAAATTTTAGATCAACTATAATAGTACAAATTTAAATAATTTAACCATACTTCGATCCGATTCGATCCGGTACCGGTTCTCATTTTATGAGAACCCATGATACAACGACAAATTATTATGTAATTAATAATTAGATAATACGGAGTAGTAATAATTAGAGCATCTTCAATGGTACAATGTGCACGGTGCACACGTGGCATGAGAGATGACCACATAAATATTAGTAAATAAATTATTTCTCTCCTTATTTAAATGATTTTATACAATTTTGGTAAGTTTTTCTCCACAATGTCAAGGAGACCGTCTAATCTTGACATTGTTGTTGACATTGCAGGGAAAAACTTACCAAAATTGTATAAAATCATTCAAATAAGGAGAGAAATAATTTATTTGCTAATAATTATGTGGCTATCACTCATGCCACATGTGCACCGTGGACATTATAGCATTGAAGATGCTCTTAGCCTTTTAATCACTAGGTTCACTATCAAATTAATAAGATAATTTTGTTAAATAAATAAGAAATACGTAGTATAAACTAAAAGAAATTAAAGAATGGGTTCGGAGTTCCACCAGGCCTGGCCGTATGGGCTGAGGCCTGAAGCATTTTGAATTCATTTAATATTTGGATAACAGTTCGATTTTTTTCCTTTTCACTCTTAAACAAACGATGTCGTTCCGTTAAACGATTCATCTTGAAAACCTCAGTTCTCGATAATCATATAACCCTATCACCAGCGAGCAGAGCAAACGAAGCGGCACCGGCAAAGCTTCAGGGCGCCGGCCAGAGTAATACACATACATACTTAGATTATTCCGGCGAGAGCACCGGTTCGCTCTTCTCGGTTCCGCCCCTGCTCCAAGACCTCCAAGACGCTCTACCTCGCTAGTCGCTAGGCCGCACACCGGCACAGCGCTGTAACCGGTACGCACTTCGCAGCTAAGCACATATGAATGTTAATGTATGATTTTCTGATTTCCTTGAATGGAAAATAATTGAAATTGATTTTGTTTGTTTCTTACGAATTGCTTTGGAGTTTGGGCCCTTGTTGTTGTTTGTCTATTTGTTTATTTATTTATTTATTTATTTATTTATTTATTTATTTATTTATTTATTTATTTATTTATTTATTTATTTATTTATTTATTTATTTATTTATTTATTTATTTATTTATTTATTTATTTATTTATTTATTGCGGATAGTGCTTAAGTAATTGAATTGAATCAATTGATAATTAGTGTGTTGTACAATTAAGACTTAAGAAATGATATAATTATGTTATTAGGTAACTCCGTATCTAGCAAGTACTAATTTTAGATTTCGAAATTATAATTATTTCTTGATTTTACCAAATATTTAAATTGAATTTTTACTTAACTTTTTTAAACATGTATATGATTAGGTGTTTTTATTTTGGGGAAAAATAGGTGAAAATTTTGATAATTGGTATTTGATAATATTTATGTTTCCAAAGAAATACCCATCTTGTCATGGATTGGCATTGATATCAATATATTTTGAAACACTCCAATAGACTGACATTGCAAGTTTGATTTTGCATCTAAATCCGTAAGAAAATTGTCTTTTCTAAATGAAAGTTATTTTATTAATCACTGTTTTTTATTATTATTGTTATGTTCATTAGTAACTTGCAAGGTAGTCAAAGTCAAAAGGCGCACTTGAAGCGCTCGTCTGACTCGGGTGAAGCGCATTACTTAGATAAAATCACATATACTATTCTATAATTACCAAATACTAGTATTCTACCCGTGCGATGCACGGGAGGTTAATTCGTGAAAAAATATACTTCGCAAGATAAAAGATCAAACATTTGAAATAAAGTTTGATGCATAATTATTAGTGTTTCATGTGTATTATTAATACTTATAAAAATAAAATATTTGAAATTTAAAAATAATATGTAAGTTCTAATAGTTCCATCAAATATAGTGCAGTATCATATGGAATAATATCAATCTAAATCAAAACAATGTTATTAAAAATGATTGTAATCATAATAATTTCAAAACAAAAGTTATTACAAATTTCGGAATACTTCCTTAAATACAACATTTGTTGTTACATTGGTACTTTTCCCGTCTGCGTCACATATAGCTATTTTCAAACCCGCAGGATTAGTCACACGTGAAAGCACAACATATAACTGTCCATGACTGAAAACAGGTTTTTTCAAGACTAATCCAACATTGGACAACGATTGTCCTTGACTCTTATTTATCGTCATAGCATATGAGACCATCAAAGGAAACTGTCTTCTTTCAAATTTGAAAGGCAATCTCACATCAGATGGAGTCAAAGACATTCTTGGAATCAAAACCTTCTCACCTGCACTCAATCCTGTCAAAACTTTTGCTTCCAAAATATGCTTACCCAATCTGGTAATAACCATCCTAGTCCCATTACACAGCCCTTGAGAATGATCAATGTCCCTCATTAGCATTACTGGTGTTCCAACTTTAAGATGCAGTTCGTGATTTGGTACCCTGAAGCTTTAATTCCATTCAAAAATTCTGGAGTGTGAATATCTGCTAAAAAGTCAGGATTTGAATCCGATTTACACGGGCTATCAGAACTAAGGTAGGTTTTCATCTCAGAACCATTTAAGGAAAGCATGTAGTCATTGATTGAATCAACAACCTGGAGAGTGGGTGCCAATATTGCTCTTTTTTCTAAATAACTGGGATCTTCATGAATAGCGTCAAAGGAAGGATAAATGCTTTCAACCATTTTTGTTATAGGATCATCAAAATCTTTCAACAAAAACTCATCTGGAATCTCAATCTCCACAAACCCATCATTTGGTCCTCCTACAGTGCCATCACCAATGCTTGCAATCCATTTAGAAAACTTAATCAAATATTCTGACTGCTCATTAGCTGGCAAATGAAGAAGCCTTAAATTTTTTGTCAAGCGCATGACATTTGTATGTTGCCACAAATGGGAAGAATTTATAGTTGCATTGACAATATCTTGCCTTGTTCCTTTAGGAATGACAGGAAGGATTTGTCTGAAATCTCCACCAAATACTGTCTTTCCACCAAAGGGCAATTCAAGACTTCTTGGATTCTGAAATCGCAAAATGTCACGTTGCAAGTCTGCTGCAATTTTAGTGAGCATTTTTTAACGTTGTGTTTTCTTAGAATTTTATTTTGTTTAGTCTATTTCCATTAAAACTTTACTGAAAATCCTTTTTCATAATGGTGCTATTCCCTTTTCTGTTTATGTATTCCCGTTCTCATATATGACAATTGCAGATTTCAATTATTATTACTCATACTTCCCAAGTATTAGTCATATACTACACATGTTCTTAAATTAATGCAACATATTGAATTTTACACTATTTACATGTTCTATTTTGACTACGTTTTATTTATTATTGCATTAATATATTTTTTGAAAAAAAATTGTTAAATTTGTCTATTTGTAAATTTTCATTTTTTTTAAATTTTTTTACTAATACTGAATTATATATATTAATAGTCAAAATTGCGCCTCGACAAATGTAAAATGTTGACCGTTGCATTTATTTAAGAACAGAGGAAGTATATAGATAATGAAATATTTTATCATTATATTTTATTTTTTCCTAGCTATTCACTATAAATTTTTCCTATTTAGTCGGTCATAGGTGCATAAAAAACTTTTATGATTATTGGTTTCAAAAAGTTGGTTTCGTGCTTTGCCTGAAATTAAGATAGAGTAATACCGATTTTACTGGAACTTGCTTTCAAAACATCAAAACTCTTTAATTGCATGCTTAACCTGTTGCCTGAAATTAAGATTCTCAAGTGTGTAATCAAAACTCTTTAATTCTTGTATATGTGTAGTACTATTACTATATACTACGTAGTACTATATAGATTCTTCTCCCTCACTTGGCCATTCGGTTCCTCATTTTATGGCAACAATTTTAATTCCCTATATGCATCAACAAACACTTTAGAGGAAGACAAACATAAAGAAAAATTTAAGCAAGAGTTTTACCTTGATGACTTGTAGTCTTATACAATCCATAGAAGCTTTTGCTATGAATGCACAAGTGCATTTTGAACAATCAAGTGAAGTTGCTTTTATTGATTTTCTAAATCACACTCCACATTCCTTACACCGTCAAATGCTTTTTGTGGAACAACCAAGAATATTTTGCCTAAATTTAGTGGGATGCCCTGCCTTCATAAAATATTGCTGAGTATTTATTTAATCACAGATATTAATATACAGATAGAGTAATTTTTATACATGATACTTTTAACTACTTTCAACAATTGTAAAATGAAGCTATTTGCCGCAATCCTTGATCATAGTTTTAACTGGAACATTCTCTGAAATATTTCATTGTAACATACTAACTTTATTCTTCAAGGGACATGGCAGTAGAATTCATTTTAAAGTTTAAACATGTGTCCATTAACATGTTATTTAGAAAGATCAAAATCGATCATTCTAAATTTAATTTATACGAATATGTGAGGATGCTAAAAGCAAAGTCAAATTTTTACTTTCCACAGCTGCCAAAGTCTTGATGATTTCTAGCCTAACACTCTCCACCCACAAAGTCAGCCGCTCAAATCTTGACTACTCCCGACATCGGGGCTTCAAACTCTTGGAAATCACCTGAATAACTACTTCATTCTACCCAGTATCCATCAAGGTTGCTGAGAGAATTCACCAATGTTTCTCCACTGAATACGCAGTCGCAAGCAGGGAGGAGAATGCCGCATATCCCTGCGGTGGAGCCTGCTAGGAGATCACCCAGATGGTTCACTATAGAAAATTCAATTTTATGTTTACACAGTGTCCTTTAATGATTACGGAGATTCTAAGAATGAGCTAGGCTGGGCGGCAGAACTAATATATAATTACTACATATCGTATATTGAAAGCTGAAAATGTGCATTCATAATATCTGTCCACTGCACTCTTTACGAACATAATCTGGAACATTTTCAAGATCAGAACTTAATCTAGCAAGTGCAAGTGTATCACTTCATGCTTATATAGATGGTTTCGTAGTGGAATCCACCAAACTTGATTTTGGGAAGTACAATAGACATATAGAATAACACAAAAATATTAAATGCAATGTCTTCAAGTATACTCAAGAGTGCATCGTAAAAACTAAAGCATTGGAATTGCAAGAATTAAAAGTATTTATTGCATTGTTTATTTCAGCTTCCCAAGGCTTTTGGACCATGTGCCCCATTTACTTTTAGCCATCCTTTTAGACCAAGAAACAACGAAACAATTTAATCATAAAAACGGTTTTCACAACAATTTTACCCAAAATGCTACAGTGTTCCCGCCCAAACTTTCCTCTCCACTTTTCTGTTTTAATATATATATAGAATATAGATGATGTATGTAACATCATATTGAACCAAATACATATTAAATGCAGTATTCACCAAAATAAAGTCATGATTTACAAAAACTAGAACACCAAATTTAGAATTCATGGCTTTAATACTAAAATTATAAATAAAAGACAATCAAATTGGAGCCTATTTTCCCTTGTTAAACTTGTGAGCCTACATAGTACTATTACTTTATTAATAACATAGAAATATACTAGTGCTGTGATTAACATAGAGTAATATAGAGTATTATGACTATTATATACAAAGTAATATACTAATGCTGTGAGTAATATAGATTAATATACTAATGCTGTGAGTAACTTGTATTTTAACACAAATTACTTCTACTGAAACTTGGATAAAAAGGCCCATTTTTTTTTGTTGCACGGGGTCCCCATATTCTCGGGACCGGCCCTGGTTTTAAATAAATGTATACGCCATAAACCCTAACTAGTCTTGTTTCTCCTTTTTTACATCGTCGATTTGAAGGCCGGGGAGAACAATCATGGTGAGAACAAAGGTGGAAATAAAGAGAATACAGGACAAATCCAAGAGGCACACTACCTTCACCAAGCGCCGCCAAGGACTATTCAATAAAGTCAACGAGCTCTGCAAGCGTTGCAATGCCGAAGCCGCCGCAATCACATTCTCTTTAGCGGGAAATGCATATGCTTTTGGCTATCCGTGTGTTGAGTCTGTCTTGAAACGTTACGATGACCATATCCAAAAGCATTCACACGGGGCTGGCGGTGAGTCCGTAGATAATTCATCTGATGTAGCCACTACGTTAAGTAGTAGCAGTGCTGCGAGTATAAGTAGTAGCGATAGTAGTTTAAATGTAGACGAATTGGGAATGGAAGAGCTTGAAGATGTTAGAATGTCTATGGAAGAGTTGAAAAAAAGAATTATTGATCGAATGAATGAGATTTCAGAAACTGTTTCTCTTTAATGCTCTCTTGTGGGTTGAATATGTTTCTATAACGTAGGTCTTTTTATTGTTTCTTGATTCTTTTGGATTAAATAGAGTCTCTATACTACCTTTTGTGGACTGGAATAGTTTTAAATGACGAACAATTTGATACGCTATTGCTAGTGATGAGCAGAAAGATTGTTTCTATTTGATTATATGATGATCATTCAGATATTCACTTATTTGATTATAAGATTGTTTCTATTTGATTCTATTAATTTGATCTCTTATAAAAAAAAATCTTATTCATACTTTGCATTTTACTTGAGTTATAAATGAGACTACAATATATTTTGTGAAGGTGAGATGCAAAGGGAACGGCAGCTGCCCTTCGAAGATTTACAATACCACGTTTGGATCCTCTGATAAAATTGCTAGACTATATAGTTCTAATATAGTATGTTTACAATGACCTCATAAATGATGCTTTTACTTGGTGCTTGCGTGAACCTTCTCAGTCCACCAAATACCATATTTGTGGAGCTCATCAAAAGCTCAAAATGAATGAGAAAAAATTTCTAAAGAAAGAATCAAATTCTTATAAATGTCATCAGGAAGAAAAAGGAACCAGATTCTTCTGAGATTAGATAACTTACCTCTTCCAGGCTAGCTATATATATGGATGTTGAGTCCTGGCATTCCAAACAAGTGATCAAACAAAACCAAACATCTAAGCTCCAGTTACTTTCTGTATTATATTGATTCAATGGCATCACAGCAGAGCTACCGGGAGGTGGATGAAACCATTGTATCTCAAAAAACCACCATAGTTACCAGCCACAAGGTTGAAAATGAGCAGCACCACTCTTTGAAAGACAAGGCGAAAGAGGTGGCAGGGAGAGTGTTTCACCACAATCACCAGACACATGAATCTGCTGCATGCATTGATTCAAACGCAACATGTGAGAAGAAAGAGGGTTTGGTGGGCAGGGTGAAAAGCCAGCTGAAGAACTTAGGGAAGAAAAAGCGAAAGGAAGGAAACTGCGAGTGTGGCAGTGACAGCAGCAGTGATGAGAGCGATTGCGAATAAGCAGATAAGGAGGTTCTTATGGATGTTGCTCCGTGATTTCCGCACTTCGTTAAATTCTTATAAGTAACAAATATAATGTGTGTGTCAGTATGTGTGGTATCTTTTGCAGAATAAATGGTGATTTTTCTATGTATCTAATAAGAGCATGTAAATGCTAGCTAAACCGCTACACGTTTTTATGTCATTGTTGATACCTTGAGCAGTTGAGCCCATACCATATATATTTGTAGTTCTTATAGCAACGCATGCCTGCAGCTTCCAAGTATTAGATAGAATTTGCTACAGATATGAACACCGATCCCAATCTAGACTGAGTATTTGTTGCAAATTATATCCTACAACCGGCACCAGCTATACTTTGAGCATGGGGCAACTGCTTCCTAGTATTAGATAGAATATAATGCATAATCCAAGAATATAATGCATAATCCAACTTCATATTTGAACACTGATCCCAATCTAGATCGAGTATTTGTGTCTTGGTTTGATTGATGATCCTGGTGATTCGTCTTTAATAGTCGATCCAAACCAAATTAGTTTTCAATCATGTCAAATACTAAAGGACTAATTAAATATGATAATACCCCATACATATAAGAAAATTAAAAAACTTACACAACACTGTGTAAGCTCTCTCCCATCCACCCTTTAAAACGGCATCATCCTTGATTTTCTTGGTGAATGATGTTAACTTTTGATCAATAGCATATTTGTAAATGAAATGATACATACTATGATAATTATGTGAAAATGTTTTTATTATAAGTACTCTCATAAAAGTATTTAACATATACTCCCTCCGTCCCCTTTTAAATGTCCCGTTTTACCATATTGGGATGTCCCTATTTAATTGTCCCATACCTTATTTGGTAAACTTTGTGTGGCTCAAAATCATTTTTTCCTTTTTCTTACTTTATCAATTAATATCAACCACACAAACTCACTTTTCTTAAAACCCGTGCCACCATCTCCCGTCCCATTTAAAAGGGGACGGAGGGAGTAACTTTTACAATACTATATTATCAAAACCAACCATTGACCAGATTAAGAGAGTAAAATATGGCAAATTTTTAAGGGACGGAATGAGCAATTAATTATGCTTATGGGCATTGAGGATGTTTTAAAATGGATTGAATTGAAATTTTGTGATATAATCTAGTCTAGTCTAACCTGTTTAAATCTAGATTGGTTTGTTAAGAAGATGATAGGTGCATATTATACATCCTGCTGTATACACCTAGTTTAATTCATCAAACACTCAGACACTGGTATTAATTTTATAATTGCTCATTTTGCATATGAAGAATGCATGTATAGTTCTGTTCATGTTCCTATTTTGTTCAATTCAATTCTATATTTCTATACATGCTCATTTGGTTATGAAAAAATTTACGAATTTGCAGAACACTTATTTAACTGTGTTGGATGTATCATGCACCATAGTAAATACACATTAAGCCAACGCCCCACAGATTAGATTTACATAAGCCTTCGAAGGGCAGCGCTTTCCATGAAAGAAGGCTTCATATTTTCCAGATTAGGAATGCTCAGGTTTTATTAAGCATAACTCTTTTTGGTATTACAACCTTTACTACAAACAAGAAAAGAATAATAAGTAGGTAATTTTAAAAAGATGAGGTTTACTTTGAATATTGACATGTCATTGACTAAACTCGCTGCATGCATAGAATCTATAATTTCTACATAGACTTTCAACAAATGGTGCCGTGAATGAGAGAAACAGATGGAATAAGTGGTGATGAAACAAAACTATACGTACAATTGAATATATACCCTTTCAAGTTGGCTATTGGCAGGAAAGGAGATTCAAAGGTGATGGGATAGACTGCACTTCTAACATGCAATACATATATGATATTATAAACACAACATAGATTCGATTATTCAAAGGTGACCACTCCTTGGCGTTTAAAAAAACAGTATGCATATACTAGTAATATTTTTCATATATTTATACTTTAAATTTAGAAATAATTACATTAATATGACCAAAATAAAGACGGTTTACAAAAATATGATTAGTTATTAGAGTAGTAATGAAAGCATAGTAATTCATGTTCAAGTTTCGAACTTAAGTTACTACAACACTACGTTGTAGTAATGAATAGTCATATTTATGAAAATAAGTTTTATTTTAGTAATATTGTTGTAAAAAACTCTTAAATTTAGCTGCAACAACAACATCTAAGACTTATTCCATGAAATTAGAGCCATAAAAGGAAGAAAGATAAGAAGAATATAAATACGAAGTATAAAGTAAGATAAAATGAATAAGCTATTTCGATTCATGTCATGTGATGTGATTAAATGGGCCATCATGCACCTACCACAACACCTCATTTATCCCGACTTGAAACAAACATGAAACAAAAAATGATCTCATGTCGGAATTCCTTTTATTTTTAGTTCTTTAAAACATTTTCTAATCTTTAAATAAGACTTGATAATTGATATGAGTTGTAACATTTTTGTTGAAGCATTTGTCCCACACTGGAAAGCTATAAAATAATTAAACATTATATAAGGCTTTGGGTTACTCCTCCTATCAGGTTGACCTTTTAGGATAGAACTCGGGTCTTAACAATTTTGAAGAGAAAAGAAACTAAAATAATTTAGTTCATAGTTGCGTTAATGTTTTCTGAATATAAAAGTTACTGATTCCTTGATGTAAAAATAATACTTCGTAATAGAATACTCTTTGATTTAGGGGTGGATTCGGGCCGGGTTGGGTCCGGGCCGGGCCTAGGCCCAGGCGGGCCGCCGGTTCTGTATAGGTGGACCCAGGACCGGCCCGGGTAGCCACCGGCAGGCATGGAGCCGGGCTGGACCTAGGACCGGTCGGGCCTTTTGTGGTTGGGGGAAGGCCCGAGACCGGCCCGGGTTGTCAGCGGGTTCGGGCCGGGCCTCGGGCCAGTTTATAATTTGTTTTTTTTGCTATTTCTAATTAACCCCCGACCCCCCTCACCCCCCACCCCCCAAACCAGCCCAAATGGCCCAAAATACCCAGTCCAACCCGGAAAGTTAAAAAAAATTAAAAAAAAACAGCATAAAGCCCGAACCGGGCCCGGAACCGGACGAGCCGGTTCCATTTTCCCCAGACCCGTACCCGCCCCGGTTACCCCCCCCCCCCCCCAAACCAGGCCTAGCCCGGAACCGGGACGGGTCGGGCCCGCACAGTACCGGGTCGGCTGGCCCAAACCGGGTCCAAGCCTAGCCACCGGGTCCGGGTCCGGGCCGGGCTTCGGGCCAATTACATTTTTTATTTTTTATTTTCCTTTTTCTAATTACCCCTCGACCCCCTCACCCCCAACCCCCCAAAGCACCCCAAATGGCCCAAGATACTCAGCCCAACCCGGGAATTTAAAAAAAAAATAGAAAAAAAAAAATAAATAAAAAAAGCCCGGAACCGGGCCGGTTCATGTTTTGGGTGACCCGAGCCCGGACCGGAAACCCCTCAGGTCGGGCTTACCCGGACCGGTCACTGACCGGGCCACCGGTTCGGGCCGGTTCGGGCCGGTCCCGGGTCGGGCCACCCGGCCCGAGTCCACCACTACTTGGATTGTGTAGTTGTATGCTATCAAATCAATAATTGAATACTATTGTATTTAGTACATTTATCTATATAAAATAAAAAGTTACATAATTTTAAAAAATATCGAGAAATATTCAAAAGTTTAGCAGAAACCAATAATAAAGTGGTTTTAATAATAAAGCGATGTGATCTAAAATAGGTTCAATCAATTTAGTTCAGATTTTAAGAACACTTTTCTTTTTCTTTTTCTTTTTCTTTTTTTGAAGTCGAAGAACTCTTTCCTATACTCCCTGAAGTAGCAACATCTGCAAGATATTCTCCGACCACTAAAAACCCAGAAGCTCTCCTGGCAAACTGAGCATACAAATACGTATCTACCAAAGAAAGGGAGCAAATCGAAAACACCGTGACTTTTTCTTTCGCGGTTTAAACAACTTGACGGTCAACTGTCGCATATTTTTCAAATGAAAAATTGATAGTAATAATCCAACCTATTGACGGCCCGCTCATAATAATCCCAACTATTAATTATTCCTGAATAATCTCAACTTTAGGTATCTTCCGCCAATAAT